CCTATAAAAAAATTATATATATCCCTTGTAAATATTTAATTTATTTATTTAGATATAAATAAATAGTATATTAAAATAAAAATATTTTAATAATTTTTCATGCAACCAAATATTTATAATAATTTAACATATTTTTGTATAAATTAATTAATTTTTTTCTATATTTGTTGATTTTTTAAATATAAAAATTATATTATTATTTTTATGTATACTCTTTTTTTATACAATATTTAGAAAATTATATTTTAGCTAAATTTTTAATTTTTTATTATTATGCAAATTTAATTAAATTTTTAAATTATAAAACCTTAGTGAAGAAAGTGAAGATATTGTAATTAAATAAATATTCTTTGGCTTAATTATATACAAACATTCTTTAAAATATTTTGTTTTTATGTTGGTTGATTATAATGAAGAGCAAAATTTTAAAATATTTTGTTTTTATATTTTATCACGCTATTTAATACATTTTAATATCAATTTGAGTAGCTGTTATATAACTTAAAATCGATAAAAAGAAAACTATACAATATATACACAATAAAATTTACATAATTATGATAAATAATTATGTCAATTAACAAGTTAATTATATATAATTTATATATAATTTCTTACCTAGCAAGTTACATAGTAACTATTTAAATAGTTTCAATTGTTTTAAATACAGAAACCAAGTTTACTTAAAAAAAAAATGTTGCATATAAAAACAAAAAAGAAAAAAATTAACCAAAAGAAAAATATTTATATATATATATATAAAAATTTTATACACAAAAACTGATCATTTTTTGCACTGCTAATATACAAAAGAAAAATTCAAATAACTGCATAATTGCAGTTATAATTAAAAACACTATAAAAATATTTTGTAAAATAAATTAATAAACCAACATAAAAATGTTTCTAAAAATTCTATTCAAAATTAATATAAAGTTAAAAAAGAACTAAATAAAAGCCCTTAAAAACATTGTATAGTTGTAATTAAATATAAAAACAAAAAACAAATTATAACACTTTAAAAAATTAGTAAAAAAATTATATATAAAAAATTTGTTTAAAATCACTGAAACCCAAAATTTATATACGAAACTGTAAACCTATTAAACCTATTTACTAAAAAAAAAATACTTAATAAAAAATATTTGTTGTTTTCATTTAAAAAAATTATATAAGGCATTATATTTACATTAGAACGGTAGATTTTATATATGAAAGAAAGAAAATATAAAAAAAACTCAGTAAAAATAAAAAATTAAATTAAATTAAGTAAAGAAAACTCTTATAACGAATATGTTAAACTAATTTTATTGTTATGATTTCTTTGTAATTATTAATTAAAATAATTATTTTAAATGCAATTTTTATACGTTTTACATTTTATTGATTAGAACGAAAAGTGTTATTTATATATTTATCAAAAGTTTTAAACTAATATTTAACAAACATATATAAATATGTATATGTATATATTTATACATATGTATACATCTATATACTTACATATAGATAAATATATACATGTATATATTTATATATATATAAATAAATATATATTTAAATGAAATAGGCTACTGATGAGTAAAAACACCCTGTATTCAAAATGATACACAATTTTGAGATTAGTTAATTGTTTATGATAGAAATTAAAATTAATATATATATATATATATGAAAAAAATCAATACCATAATAAATTTTTACATGAAAATTACTTTAGGCCAGTCAAACACATATGACATTCATAATTAAAAATATAAATTCAATAATTATTATAATATTTATTAAGAGAAAAAAAGTATGAATGAGCAAACATAATTAAAAAAAATTTAATAAAAAAAAAACTTTGCATACATGAATATTGTAAACAACAACAAATATTATGCATTTATAATAATAATTATTATTAGAATTATTATTACAATGGAACAACGTAATAAATAAATAAATAAATATTAAATAAAAACTAAAATATTTTTGTGTTTTAATATTAAAATATAATATAATATATTATTTCATTTTTAATTTATTTAGTAGCTATTTATATATATTTAGTATATATTTAGTATATATTCAGTATATATTTAGTATATATTTAGCATATATTAAGTTTCTTTTTAAAACAACTTTCCAAAACAATACCAGACGCAGTAGTTATTTCTTTAATTTCTTAAAGAACTTGATATTTACTTGCATTCATACTTTAGCATACACGCATTCATCATGAAAATAGATAAAATTTTCCCTAAAATATGTGGTTTGAATTTAAAAATCTCTTCTATAGAAAATTTCCCATAAAACATTTTCTAATTTAAAACAAATTTAATAATACATTTTTAATAGAAAAATTATATATTATTAGATCATATAAAAAGTATTCGCTGTATAGCTTTGAACAAACATTTTTTTTTATTACGTGTTAGTTTTAATAAAGTTCATATTGGCCATTATTATATTATTTATGACCCTTTAGTCATATTTAGAGGAGCTTCATAACCTCATCGGTGTAGAACTTCTGTGGACTTCATTTTACCATGAAGAGAGTTTTGCAGAGACCGAAAAAAAGTTAAAGAAATCAGTACTACAGCAGTTTCGTTGTGAAATATTGTAGGAGTTCTATAATTTTAAAGTATAATAGAAAAGCCGATTTCTAAAATTAGAATTAGTTAGAGTTGTTTGTGCTATTCAATCTTTCTTTATGACCTCAATCGTCTTGAAACTCCTTCATTAAAGTGGATAATTTTAGCTTCGGGAACAGCAAATGGTCGCTTGGCGCCATATCAAGTAAATATAAAGCATGATCCATGACATTCTTGAATGTTTTACAGAAAATCTTACACAAAAATGGTTTGTGTCATTGCAGAATACTCAAGAATATGAATTCTTGAGTCAATATCCTTTACTCATTTACTTAGTAGAATATTAAAGACGGAGGTCTTCCTTTTGACTGCATCCACTAACCTCTTCCAACCAGTCCGCGATTAGTGACTTGCTACAACTAGTAGTTGGTAGTACCAAGTACTTTCATTTAGTTGTCATCTGATCCTTTCACCGAAAATGGTTACGTCCTTAATCGCATTTTCCACCAACGGTTACCAAATCAAACGCCTTGCTATCTGAACCAGCTCCTTCTATTCGTACGTTATGACCAAAAAAGCGAGCTTATACATTTTTTCTTAACAAAAAACTATAAACTCCTAAACTACTTAGAAGTATATATTATTTTTCGTTATCACATGTGACATTAGAAATATATAATACTATGGACTCTTGGTGCATCTAACTATACGCGATAGATAGATGCGCCAGTTTCAACCTTCAACGTCACTACCGGTACTGTAAAATCGTAATACTAATTGACAGCCAGGCAACTATAATGGCACTCACATCGTACCAGGTAACATCCAAACTGGTATGGGAGTGCATTGACAAGCTGAACATACTTAGCTAAAATAATCAGGTGCACCTAATATGAATTCCGGGAATGCTGATATCCAAGGCAATAAAATGGTAGAAAAATTTGCAAAAAGAGGCGCAACCTCAAGAATGATAGGTCTAGAACCATTCTGTGATCTAGACAAAGGAACTCTGTCCATTCTTATGAACGGCACAGAGGAAAACGAAATAGAACTCTATTAGGAAAGGCCACCAAGACTATCACAATCTAAAATGCTTTTAGGGACTTACCTCAAACCTAAAACGCTTCAAAGATTGTATAGCACAAACAAAAAATACCCTAAGAATTATTACGGGATTACTGAGCGGTCACTGTAGATTGAATAATCACCTATCAAAGTTAGGAATTCAATCCAACTCAGACTGCAACTCAGCGTGTAGAGAAGAGAGAGAAACTGCATACCATGTGCTTTGGGAATGCCCAGCACTGATGCAGAAGCGCAAGAAACACCTAAAAGGGTATTTCGTGGATCATAAGGATTTAAGACTATGAAAAAGAGGCTCTATACTGTCTTCTATTGAAGAAATTGGACTTGGAGAAACACCCTTACCCGACTAAGATATTTTAAGTAGCAGTGCACGATCCGTTCTTTTAATAATAATAATAATAGCCTAGTATTATTTTTCGTTGTCACATATGACATTAGAAATATATTATATACATAAAATATATAAGGAATTTTAGTTTCCTTATATTTATTTTATTTATTTTAGATTTTTTTTGGAATGTTATTATTAACTATAGAATATATTTTAATAAGTACAATTTTTTATTACTATATAAAGCATCAATTTTTAATATTAAAAATGATTACAAAAATATAAAAAAATGTATGAATAAAAAATAAAACTTCCTGCCAAAAATATAACGAAATCATATGAGAAGGCAAAGTTTATTAATCTTCACGTACCGGCAATAACCTAACCCAACCTGACAGATATAAAAAAGGGTAATAAAAAAAATATGACTTAGAAACGACAAAAAATGCATAAAAATGTTGTTCACATCTGATAAGAAAAAAATGCGTATTGCTCAAAATAAAAATAATTAAAAATTAAAAATTAAACCAAATAATCATCAGTAAAAGAAACAAGTTTTAATAAATAAATTTAAATTAATAAAAAAAAAAAACATTCACTTCGGCAATAAATTTTTTAAAGGCGCCACAAAAAATACCACAAAAATCGCACTACTCACATTACAAAATATTTAAATTTATTAATTTTTATAAATTTTGAATAAAAGAAAAAAAAAATAAAAGAAATTGAAAGCTGTACATTTTTAAATTTACGAGGAGACAGAAGAAATTTAAATTTTTAATAATTTTAATACTCGATAAGAGCCGGCAGCGCGTTTCCGATGACGAATTGGTTCAATGCGATCGAACTGTATTAATTCGCTCGAAATTTTTAATAATTAATTTTTAATTTTTTTTTTTTTTATTTTTTATTTGTATTAATAATAAAAATAAATTATATATCAACATTACTGTACAGATTACATTCCGCACACTTGAACAACGACATTCCGCAAGCAATTAAGGAAAAGAATTAAAGCACGAGAATCTTCTTCAGCAAGTTGTCTTCAGTGTGAATGCGACATATTCCTACTCCGCTGAGTCTTATAAAAACGTTGATGCTAAGCTGAGAATATTATCATTCACTTAGTTACGTTCAAAACGTACAGTTGTTAAATTTATTTATAATAATTTGTTTATTAAATATTTAATTTAAACAAAATGAAATTCGTTTTATGCCTTGCCGTCTTTGTATTGGGATTAGTTGCCTTCAGTGAAGCAGCTATTGCTAGAGCCGTCTTCAAAAATTCCGGTAAGTAGTTGCACTCGATAAAGGAATAATCGAAACGGAGTACATATTTTCTATACTCGAGTAAGGATATCGTTTTTATAAAGTCCAAACGTCAGATCACTCGAAGTCTGTTAGACAATAGCTCAACTAATATCAATTTATTTAATATATAATAATATTATTATATATTATTTATATATATAATATATAATATATATTTATTTATATATATATGATATTATTATATTAATATTGAAAAATAAATTATTATCTTTTAGATTATCCCGGCAAATGCGTGATCGATGCTAACACCGTGATGTCACCGGGTCAAACCGGTAAAGCACCAAACCATCCATGTGCCGGTGTGACTTGCATGGAGAACTCACACGTTGAATTCAAAACGTAAGCAATACTTCAACATAATAAATTAATAAAAAAAATTATATTAACTTCATTTTATTGTCACAGTTGTGCCGCCGTGGCACCACCAAAAGGCTGTAAACTACGTGATTTTGTCAACACTAACCGTTCCTATCCCGAGTGCTGCGAACGATCCTACGATTGCAATCGCAGTTTTTAAATCTCTTAAAAATTAATTAAAAATTACTCATTTAAAATATTTTTAATAGACACTCCGTTCTGCTTTCATAGCTATTTATTGTGTCTCATTTGTTGTTGTTTTATTCAATATGCAAAACTTTATTTATTTAATAATATATAATAAGTATTTATTAATGTGAAAATATAAAAATAAATTCGACTTAAAGTGTTAAAAAAATACATTATCAACCTTTATTTTTAATAAAATTAATTCTTTTACAGATTTATAAAATTAAAATTTTTTTCTCCTCATGATTTATGACTTATAACAAGGAAGTGCTCCTAGAACTTAGCAGCTGATTTAGGGAAATTTTTTAGTACTGGAGAAATTAATAACGGAAAACAGGGCTAAATGAATATATTTACTTCCAATTACATTACATCCTATATAGTTCCTTAATACTTTTCAAAAATATAAGGTCTAGTAAAAAGATATCCCTTATATTTCCAATAGATAGCTTTTGTCAGATCGGGTTACACTAAATGGCGTTAGGAAGATAAGTTTCCGTTAGAAAGATTTTTGGCAGTTAGGTAATTAGTTGGCTCAGTTTTATTTCAGCTCGCATCAAAGATGGACACTACCAAAAAGACATACTTTACACTTTTTCTTTGATAAAGGTAAAAACGCAAGCCAGGCGACTGAAAATGTGAATAGTGTTTATGGTCCCGACAATATCAACTGTAACAGACAATCATACGCAATTTCGGTTTCGTCGATTCCATTCAAATAATTTCGATATTAAAGATGCAATACGCATTGGAAAACCAATTGTTGATATCGAAGGTTAATAAAATCATGCAAATTTTCCTTGATGTCGACTATCACGTAAGCACTGTTTCAATTGCTCAAGAGCTAACGGTTGCGCAAAAAACCGTGTGGACACAAAAAGAAATTCGATGTATGGGTGACACAAGAATTGACGAAATAAAACCTCAAAAACCGAATTTTCATATGCGAATCACTGCTGAATCGCAATAAAACCGATCGATTTATGAAGCAGTGATGAGAAGTGGATCACTTATCACACTATAAAAAAAAAAGATCGTGGTCAATAGCGATGAACCGGCTGAAATGATGGCCAAGTCAAGATTGATGTCCAGGAAAGTTTTGCTGTGTTTTTGGTAGAATCATCTACTAAGAGCTGCACCTCTACAGCTAATCTCTTAACTCGGAACTATACTGTCAACAATTGGATGGAACTAATTGGTCTAAAGGAAGCAATCTCCCAGAAACGGTCAGCTTTGGGCAATAGGAGACGAAGAGGTGAGATAGGAGAGTGTTCCATCACGACAACGCCAGGCCGCACATATTGATAATGACTCACCAAAAGCTCCGGAAGCTTTGTTGGAAAGTTTTTATGCATTCACCATATAGTCCAGACCTGGCACCAAGTGATTATCATCCATTCCTGTCCATGGATAACAACTTTTCTGGTAAAAAATTTGCTTCGAGAAAGGCTTGTGAAAATCAACTGTATCAATTCTTTGCCAATAGGGACGAGGACTTCTATGAGAAATGCATAATGAAATTACCTTCATAATGGCAACAAGTTTTCGAACGAAACGGAGCATATTAAACTAGCTTAGTATAAACAAAGCTAATTACTCTTATTATACAGGATGTTTTATACGTAATTTATTCCGAAATTTGGAATTTAATATTTAATATTCCATATTTAGTTAAAAATATGGTCCACCAAATTTCAATTTGGCTGAAAACTATTAGTCATCGTGTCTAATTTGACAGGCACAAGTTCTAAGCCTGAACTAATTAAATAAAAATTCGAATATTTCCTAAGATCAGTGATGATGAGTACTTGGCAATACTCGTAACAGCGTTATATAGTCAGCCACATTTCAACAAATTAATTAAAATTTTTGTTATTGTTTCTTCATTACTGTTCGAACTATTCTAAAAAATCTATTTTTAGAAAGTTCTACGTACGTTCGGCTTCACTATATATAATATCAATTGCAATCGAATTTATAACAGTATGTCATGTATGAAACCTTTTTAAAATAAGTTTTAATTAATATAATATCTCTTATAACAGAATAATTTATAAAATTTCTTTTAATAGTGTTGATCACTGCGTGGTTTTAGAAACAAGGTCTTGAATTATATTAAGGTAAGCAGTTTTCTTCATTTATAATGAGATCTTGAGATCTAGATTTTGTATAAATGGTACAACTTCAAGACTTTGCTTTTAATATAAAACAACTGTTTTTACTCGATTTTAATATAAAATAAATGCAATTGATATTGAGTTGCATTAAATTATTATTGTATTTAAATTTTATACATTTGTTGAGAGAAACACGTGTTCAGATTGACACAATCTGTAAGATACAATAAAAATAACATTTGTATATTGAATCACTGACATCAATTTTTGATCTTAACAACGCCAATGAAATAAAGAAAAAATTACTGAATATACAAACTTTTTATACAAGACACCAATACCCAGTGATGATACCACCTTTTAGAAGTGGTGAATTCAGTCAGTAACTCAATTATGGGGACTTATTCCTTTATTGGAAATTATGTCTAAAGACCCGAATTATGTCAAACGGAGTTTAACACGGAGAAGACACAAATGGCGCTAGATAGGCTACAATCTCCGCGGACCCAATGACAACATTGCACGTGAAGCTCTGAGGTGAAATCCTCAAGGCAGCCGTCGACCTGGAGCGCCAGCTAAAATTTGGAGGAGGACAATTAAGGAAGAGCTAAGAGAAGCCAATTATTCCTGGAATGACATCTGCCGATAACCATAAATCGGTTAGGCTTAAGTTAGTGTATGCATTGAGACACGAAAACAGATGGGCGACATCATGGCAGTTAGAACAGCAGTTAAGGACATTGTGAGAATTGACGCATGGAGGAGTAATCGAAACATCATGCTTCAAAATATTTGTGTATATTATGTTATGATATATAATAATTCCAAGACAACCGATGATGGATATTTGGCAATACTTGAAACAACAAATAAATATAAATTTTTGTTGTTGCTATACAGTACTGCTTGAAACCTCTCTATATCTTATAAGCATGAACATATTTCAAAAAATTTAAATATATTTATTATTTATTTTTATTTCTCGTTGTATTTTATATTATTATGCATTCAATAAATTATTTACAAATACTGATTGAGCAATACTAGTACTAGTATTACTATTTAAGTAAGAAATAATTTCTGAGAAATATTGCAGCAAACGTGACTACAGCAAACAAACGATTCCCAATATTTTTTATGGGTCTTACATTTACAAAAAAAAATTGTCTAATTTCTAGTTGAAAATTAGCTTTTCATCGAAGTGAATTGAACTAAAGTGACTTTAAATTAGGTATAAGGCAATGTAAAGGTTCATAAATAATCATGTTTTTTTTTTTTTACAAATAACTCCATAAATATTGCCCACATTTGTTGACGCAATCAATTTCTTATTTTAGGTATAAACAAAATATAAAATAAATTTAAAATCATTCAAAATTTTGTGCTTGACAGATAAACAAGTGATAAGAATCGAATATGACATTCGCTGCGGATAACCCACTGAAGAAATTCAAATATTTCATCATTTACTTCTTAGTTTTGTTTATGAGTAACTATGTTGCTGGTTGGGTCGCTAGTGGATTCTATTATAATGATTGTAAGAAAAGCAATATCTAATTTATACAATACTTTTTAATATATTATATTTTTACATTTACAGCTTACCCTGAACTATGTTACATCAGTGAAGATTTCATTTTAGAACCAGGTGAAACAGAAAAAATGTCCAACTCATGCTCCATGATTAGGTGCATAGATGAAAGCGGTTTTGCAGAAATGTACGGGTATGTAATTCTTAAGTTTATATAAATAAAAAAATCAAGTAATTAGAATTACTAATTATAGATGTGGCGCTGTTGCTCCACCCACTAATTGCAAATGGGGTGATTATATTAATATTGATGCACCATACAGCGAATGCTGTGCCAAAGAAGTGGTCTGTGATAATCCAGCAGATATGGATGCTGCTTTGGAATATCAAAACACTATTTACGAGATGTTTATAAAAGCAACGTATTAAAATTTTCAACATCAACATATATATAAATTGATTGTTTCCAATGTAAACATATAAATTAAAATCTCTTAAACTAAAAATTAACGCAACAAACATAAACTTACACTATTAATAAATATCACAGATAAAGTGAATTTTAACTGATTTGTTTAAATAATAGCAAAATATTTAAGAGAAGCATTTACATTATTCTATTATTTAGAATAATTTTTAGTATTTGTCAAGTAGCGATTTTTTTATATAAAATTACGCATAGCATAATCAAATCGTTGTTGTTGGGAATAGCAGTTTGATTTTTGTTCTTTAAAGATAACTAGGACAAAACAGCTACTTATAAATATGATTAGCACTAACCGTTAACCCTGTTAATCTAATATCCAAACACATAACTCTAAACTTACCTTAACTTACAGCTGTGTTTTGTGTGAACTAATTTTAACTATGCAAATCATATGTAATTCAAGCTGTGTCAATTAATTAACTCAATGTGTAACTTATTTGTTGTTTTTGGTAAATTGAAAAAAAATTTATTATTAATACTTTGCTTGGAATGTTGAATTTTATTTAAATAAATCACTTGGAAATTGTGGTTCGAATTGTATTTTAAAATCATTTTGTTTCAAAGCTGCTGCTTCAGCCTCAATAGCGGCATTAATAAAATCTCTATAAGAAAAAAATATATTAAAAAAATGTAGGTATATAATAGGCATATATTTACTCTTCTTCTGCTAGTGTTATATTAACACGTCCAGTTGATATTTCAGTAGGACGTATAGAACCAAAGAAATCAGTAATTGGCACTTTATTAGGATCGCGATTATATAGATCCTTACGTACACCAACAGTTGATATGCAAACACGTTTGGGACAAACTTGTAACTAAATTAAATTAATAATTAAAATTATATTTTATACACAAAACCAAATATGTAAAAAAAAAAAAACTTACAAATTCACCCATAGTTTTCTGACTATTTGGCTGCACTTTTTCCAAGAACTCAAGCGCATAGTAAGTGTAACGATCAATCATATAAACACCAATGGATGGATCAACATGATGCTATTAACAAAAGCACAAAATTAAACAAAAAATATTAATATACAAAAAAAAATAAAAACACACCGAAAGTGAATCTTCGCCAACTAAACTACTAGCAACAGCTAAAACATTGGGTGAAGTGAATTTTTCATACAGTGAAGCAGCTTGACATGTATCAACCATTAAAAACAATTCGTTGTAACTGTAAAATAATTTTATTAATAAAAATATAACACATTAACAATATTTTGTATTACTATTTACCGTTTCTTTTCCCACATTTGTTCAACAGCATCTGCCAATTCTTGACTGGTAATCTCTTCAGAATCTTGAAATTTGAGAAAACCATCGCCGCCATGCCCAGTCAAATAAATTAAAACATTACTGCCAGCATCGGTGAGCAGTTTTTTGGAACGTGCTGTAGAATTTTGTGAGCGTCCAGTTAATAAACGTACAAAATTCTCTACAGTCACCTCATAACCACGATAATCCACTTCAACATCATCACCATAAACATTTATATGTTGATTTGCATTATTATAAACTTGACCCGGTCTTGGATTACGTGGATTACAAGCCATATCATCAGCGATCATAAGTATAATTTGTGAATCTGGTATACCCAAACGTTTCACTGAACGATATATTGATAATACATTTGCTACATGTCGATAGTTAAACCAAAAACGCGAAGCATCGACCAGTACAGCCCAATTGTTCGTATGAGTGGAACGCTGTACTTCCTGCACAAATTTCTCTGGTAAATTATCAGTCTATGAAAAAGAATTATAATATTATTAAACATTCAAAATCATTTTATGTATAAAACATTAGACATACACTAAATTATTTTACAGTTATTTAATAAAATTTTACTGTTTATCTATAGACGCTCAATCATAACGGAAATTAATTTATATGAAATTATATATATTTTACCTTTTCAGCACACAAACAACCAATTGCCACGAAGGATAATAGACATAATACTATAGAAATTTTAAACATTTTTGTTTAATACATTTAAAACAAAGATATTAAAGATATTTACGACCGGCACAAATATTTGCTAGAAAATATGTTTTCATGCTTAACACGGCCAGTTGTTTAGTACATGACAGCTGATTCTATGCTGCTTCTACACATAAAGTTTATTCACAATAAGAAAATTATATATTGAAAAAATTAATTTTGAAAGTAATAATAAATTATACAATAATGTATATTTGTTTTATAAAGATTTTAAAAGCAATAAATTGTAATTATTCAGATAGAAATTTTTGTTTTAGAAACTTTAAAATATTCAGTTTTTAAATATTATTGAGTTCTTCAAAGTGATTTATTGTAATCAAACTGTTACAGTTTGAGAGTTACTAATTATTAAAATGGGCCAATTTACACAATATTTTGTCATAATTGCGAAAATTATCTTACGGAATTTTATTTACTAAATTATTGATATAATCTAATTAAATTTAATGTGATTTTAATTTAAATTAATACTAAATAATTTGGGTTATAGAAACATTTTGTTTGACATATGTACATAGCGAATTGTTGATATGATTTATCATATATGTACTTGCTAAATTGAAATTGGTTGGAATCATTGGGATAAAGGAACGCTTGAGGAGAAATCGATGAAAAATATATTTTAAATTAAAAGAATCCAACGTATATTTTATGGAAAACGTACAAATTATACTAGACTAAAAAAAATCCAAACAGTTTAAATCTATAGGATTTGTGTCAATTTTAAAATTAAACTGGAATCAAAAGTAAAATGAAATTTAAGCAAAAATCTAATTATTAGCCAGTAGATTCTCTTGACGAAGAATAGTCTAATTTTATAAAAGACAACAGATAAATCTAAATTATCTTGTGAATGTTGATTTTAAACCCGTTAAATCTTCAAAGGCGCTGACACTCTCGTAACAACAGGGGACGAACATTTAACTAAAATGTAAATTATATAAAAAATAAGTACATATGCAACATAAAATATAAATTATAAATATCAAAATCTACATCATTTGATATTTATGGTAGATATCTTCAAAAAATCTAGTATAATTATTATACTAACTAGACAATCATATTGGCGCAAACCCCAACTAAATTAGAACTTTATTCAGTATTTTATCCAAAAATGTGACTTAGATGATAAAAATAACAAAACTATCAAATTTCTCTATAACAGCCCAGAAGTTTTAACTGAAATATCATCTCTTCGTCAAAAATCCCTTAGTTATAAATTATATGGCTGACATTTCCTTTGAGATAAATTACTTATATCTACTACCACATACCATCTTGCCCCTTTCCTATTATTAAACAATTCAGTTTTGTTGTGACCCATACAGAAATGGTGAGTAGTTTTTAGTCTTTGTACAATATGTGGCAAGTAGGTTCTAATATAGCTCTAGACCTGGCCATTCATTAATGTCAGTTATTGCGTTTTTATTGTTATTCTTTAAATATAGAATAAAATAATTATCATAAGATAACACCTTTAGGTTTTTAGATTTAGTTTTTTAGTTAGATGAAATAAAATAAATTCACTTTCTCATAAACTGTTTTTATAAGAAATTAATCCTCTTAATTATAACAGAAGTGTTTTCCAAAGACAATAAATTTAAATAATTACCATAATTTTTAAAGAAAAATTGGCCGAGCGTTAAAAAACAAGTAGAAACTTAATTAAAGTAAAATAACCAGTCAACATGGGAATTATTGAGACGAACAATTTGTCTACATCCGTTTGAGTTTTGAACTGGAGTGAGGTCCTAGTAACGCCTTGGGTATTATTATATTCAGAACCAATAATGGTGCGAAAGTTATCCTTTTATTCGCCAAAGTGCACATAAAAGTTTTATTCAAATTTTAAGACAACATCGAATTTATTTTTGTGGTTTTTTATTATTAAATTTTTCTTTTTGTTTAAGTTTTAACAAATGATTTTAAATTACTTCCGTTTCCGTTTTACTGGAACTTTCGCAAGTTCACAAAAGTTTGGTAAATACTAAAAAATTAACTTTGGTAAGTTTTTTGTAAAGTTTACCAGTATTTATGGGTGTCTGCTTGGTTATGTTTTATATTAAAATAAATTATATATAATAATTTATTATAGAAATTATATTAAAAAATAATTATATTCATTTTAATTATTTAAAATATTAACATAACTTATTTAGTCTTTGGAAATGTTGTTAAATATTTGTAAATAAAATTAACTTTATATATAGCTATTTACATGTCCAGAATGAGATATATATTATTAAACCAGTATAATAATAGGTGTTTCCTTTGTCTAAAAAACGAAAGAACAACATATGTGATATCGGGTCTCATTTTCAGTCTTAACCAATATACTGGATATCAAGGAATGCCCTAAACAGAGTATTTAATTATATAGTAAAACTCTTAATATCTCGAAAATGAATTATCCGGATAGATTTTTATAGAGTCTTCTTTCAACGATTTGTTAATACCCGGATTTCCTATAGCAGCTAGCGCATTTTTAAACGTATCTTTTGCGATACAACAGATCCATTTCTTATCGTCTTAAATAAAACCCATTATCTATGATATTTATTGCTATTGGCGTCTATTAATAGTCTAAGTTTATATAGAACCAGACTTAAGTTTTTGAGTGCCCCATTTTTTAGTTCACTAAGCGATATTTCCAATATTTGTATTAGCCAGGTAGTTGTATTTAGTAATGCGTCCGACTGGTTCTAATATGCTTAGTTTTCTTCTCACAATTGCGAGAAATATCTTTCTTAGCAAATGAGTAAGATGCAATCCTCATTCCAATTCAACTATCAACCCACCTGATCCGTTTAAAATGTCTTCACTATCACAACAGTTCCATTTCTTTTAAATTTCTTATGAAATCAACACTATTTCCTATGTTTTAAGCTACCATTCTTATTTATGCATTGCTGTTTAAAATTTAATAAATTTAAAAAAAAGAAATTGTTAATGTGGGACCTTAATCCTTTGAACATTTTCATCTTCCCATATGGATAGATCTTCTAGTTTACACCATTAAGAATTATGTCAAGAGGCAGTTATGAATACAAAGCTTTAGCGTCAGTTACTGTTCCTAGGATAGTGAAATCGCTAACACTTTTGATCAACTAATTTGTTTACTCAGCTCTTCTCTTACACTAAACATGGTAAAATTTAATTATCACTCTTGGTATTGCTTTCTGTATCTGGCGCCATTTATAGTTAATGTCACAAGTGACATTCATTATTGTGGAACATATTTTTAGATCTGCAGATATTGCTTTCTCATAACTGTGCTGAATGATCAACCAACGGAGACTATTGCACACAGTGGTACAAATGTACTCCTCACATAATTAGGAAAGACAAATAACGAATGGTTTCTACATTTACTCCAAAATCATATCTGGGCTCATATTAAGTGCCAAGCATTGCTACTCCAATGCATAATACTTCTCCAATGCATAATAGTTCTCCACAAAAAGACTTCTCCACAAAATGGCTTTACGACAAGAAGACTTCTCCACAAAAAGACTTTTTTCTACAAGAAGACTATTCCACAAAATGAGTTTTCCACAAGAAGACTTCTCCACAAAATGACTATTTCACAAAATGACTTTTTTACAAAATGACTTCTCGACAGAAAGACTTCTCCACAAGAAGACATATCTGCAGTAAGACTTCTTCACAAGAAAACTTCTCCACAACAAGACTTTTCCACAAGAAGACTTTTCCACAAGAAGACTTCACAAGAAAACTTCTTCTCAAGAAGACTTCTCCACAAGGAGACTCCACAAGAAAACAAGAAAGCTTCCTTGCAAGAAGACAAGACATTCCAAAGATATCTAATCTTCTACTAATCAAAGCTGGGCACTGCCACATAAGAGGAAACACATGTTTCTTCTTTCGTCGCAGAGCTACAGCTGCGTAAGTCCGCTTATGTGTCCAATATGCAGATACGAGCCAGCACCATTTCAATTTTGTGTAAACAGATGTCTGGTTTTGTATCTTGATTGGACGAAAAAAGAGTCTTGCTGACTGACAAGATTCTTTATCTTTATCTACCCAGGCTTTTTAGCTATCACATTTAAGATTTTAAAATCTGCACATATGTACTTCGAAAATAAAGTAGAACGTCATTCTAAGATCGACATATGAAAAATAGATTTCGATGGCCATGTATTAAATAAAATTTAATTTTATTTATAATTTTATTTTAATCAATTTCATTTAAATTTTATTAATCACATATAGAACTTTATGGATTTTACTCAGCTCATATGCGTATAATACTTATGACCTCATGTGAATTTTCAATCCGGGTTCCTCTACATATTTTAATGCTATTTGACTCGTAAATCTAAGATTCTCGAATTTAAAATCAGTTTCAAATTTAAAGTTCCGAACAAGTCCACTTAATATAATTTTCATTGAGAACATGGCATATCGCATTCCTGTAACCAACACATAATAAACTAATCTACATGTACATAGGTATAACTTAGTTTTGTCGGGGCTTACCTATGCAGTTTCTACTACCTCTTGAGAATGGAATGAATGCACATTTTTGCGCTTCTCCGAAGTTTTCAGCTGAAAAATGTTCTGGATCAAATTTATTTGCATTTGGACCCCAAATATCGGTACGTCGATGAAGGTGTAATAATGAAATCACAATTTGTGTATTTTTGGGAAAAACTTCTTTACCAACTTGTGTATCTTTTGTAACATGACGTCCGATTAATGGAACAGAGGGAGCAAGGCGAAGTGTTTCATTTATTACACGATCCAAATATTGTAACTGATCTAACTGTTCACGCTCAGCATTAAAGTTTTTCTCAGGAAATACGTCTAAAACTTCCTCAAAAAGTCGCTGCTGGATTTCCGGATGCATGGCCAACATAACAAGAACAGAGTAAATGCCATTAGCCGTAGTCTCAAATGCCTATAATTAAAAAAAGAAATACAAATATATAAAATATAATAAATACTTTATGTATGTGTACTCACTGCTCCAACAATTGTATTTGATTCACTTATTATATCATTCCATGTGAACAGTTGCTGTTTGTATAGTTTTATTGCTAGATCAATAAATATTTTTGGTTCCTTTTTGATAGAAAAGTCTGCAAGATCATCTTCATTATTAGTGAATTCCTCTACTTGTTTTGTAAGCAAGAAAACATTATTACTGGACATGTCGTCTTTAGTACTTGCAATACTCGTTTCTGCATCAGCAATTTTAGTAAGTTTTTTGTGAATTAACTGTAACATTTTAGGCAATTTTTATCTTTTCTGTGAAGAAATATTATAAATACTAACATCTTCGACAAATTGGTATGAATATTTTTTAGCGTTTCTAAATTTCGAAAACAACTCCATTATGAAATCGAGTCTCATAAACGAAAGTATCACACTAATCGTTGTATATTCCATTATACTATACATATGATATTAATTTATTTCTATATAAAACACAAAATATAAGTACTTAGGCCGTGTGCGAGTTCGAGTAAATTAATGGTAAATTGAGGGAAATAGTAAATTATGTCGGTATGGCAGCGAATCTTGATATTTACCAGAGTCTCGAGTATGGTGAATTAGATAAAATTTAGGTAAATTAGGTGTTACCATTGTGAAAATTTTGTAAGATGTTTAATAAATAAATAAACGCAATAAATAAATCAATAAATATTTACATAAGTGCAGTGCAAAAAATCCTTAGGATTTTTACTTTACCTCAATTTTTTCGAACTCGCACACGGCCTTAAATAACTTACATCCAATAGTGTTTGACTGCATCATTCGAAATCTGGTTACCTTTCTGCATGTACTTGCCCATAGTTGTTTCTGAAGTCAAATAGTTTATTTAATCATAGTTTTTTTTTTAATTTCAATAGTTCAATAGTTTTATACCTGCAGTTAATGTTAAAGTCATTGTTTGTATAGCATTCACTAAATTATGTTCCCTGTTGTCTACCAATTCGGCACACTTTTCTATTATATTACTCTTAGCTTTATTAAATATTGGAAAGAAACTCATAAGCACTTTATTTGTAAAGGCAGGATTTATCAGCTTACGATTGTGCGACCATTCATCAGCTTCATTCAGACACAAATATTTTTTAACTTTTACACAATTAATTACATTTAATTAATTAGTAGTACCTCTACTTGCAACAAGTCCACCTTTAAAAGTACAGCGAATGGGATGATAAATACTTTCAGCTTTGTTAAGAAGCTCTGGAGAGCGCAAAACATTTGAAATAATCTCCGCATCTGCAGTCAGTATGATTGGAAACCATCCCACCCACAAATAAACTGTATAACTTTTACAATGTTTAAAAATATGATTAAGACCTGATGTTAAATCTTCAAGAATCAGATATATCATTCATTAAACCAATTTAATTTTTTATTAATATTTTTTACTCACTGTTCAAGTTCCCTATTCCATATAAGGAACCAATTATTGGAAGACCGTATAATACCGGGAAACTTAAACCGTATTTATATATATTTCTTCGCGTCCATATCCAATGAACCCACAATATTATAAAACCGGCCACAAACACAAATTTAACAACTTTATAATTTTCTAGTGATTCCATATTAAGTGATAGCTAAATAAACATCTATTCCCTCGAGTGAAAATAGAATAATAATCCACAGCATAGTATGCTACTTATATTATATTCGAAAAATAATATTGTAAACAATTTATTCGATTAAGAAAAAAGAGGTGACATTTACTGCGACGCCAGGTATTGTAAATACTACAGAATTATTTGTTATTGTTTATTATTAATTAATTAATTAAAAAATCAAATCTAAGATTAATTAATTCTAATCTAAGTAATTTTACACATTACACATTATAATATACGAGTTGATGTCAATGCTGAGTTAAATTACGCACATATAGATTTTATTGCACACTACGCAAATATATAATAAGCACAAAAAAGGTTTAATATATGTTATCTTCCTGATATACATTACTAATAACTCAGCATAATTATAATGGCATTCGAAAGAAATAACTTTTTTTATAAAATCACATTTAGATTTGTTAAGTTTAACGTACTCTGTTTTAGTAATTTAGACAAACTAAATCCAATATATAACCAATTTATTAAATTAAAAAATGGTCCATAAACAACAGTAGGTCTCAAGTACTTATAAATAGAATCTACATTACTTTTGACAGAACAAACCCAACTTAGTTCCATGTTGTGCTATATTCTAGAGCATTATTATCGTATATACTTCCAATCTGAATGTGGCGAAAAGAGGGATTTAATAGAATATAAAAATGTGGTTACCAATCAACGTGAGAGGGAGGAGAGCATTTTAATAGCCTAGAGTATTATTATACTCTCTTTTAAAAACAATAACACAATGATTTTATTAGTGACAATTTGTGATTTATTAGTGAACCTTTCTGTGATCTAGACAAAGGAACTCTATCCATTATTATGAACGAGGTAGTGGTAAAAGAAAGAGAATTATATTGAGAAAAGCTATCAAAACTATCACAATCTAAAATGCTTTTAGGGACTTACAACCTAAAACGCTTCAAAGATTGCATAGAACAATAAAAAAATAACCTAAGAATTATTACTGTAGATTGAATAATCACCTAACGAAGTTAGGAATTCAATCCAACTCAGACTACAGATACTGTAGAGAGAATCGAGAACTTGCATATCATGTGCTTGGGGAGTACGCGGCACTGTTGCACGGGCGAAAGAAACACCTAGAATAGTATTTCATGAATCATAAGAATTCAAGACTAGAAAAGATACGCTCTATATTGTCTTTTATTCAAGAAATCGATGAGGTACCTTCGAGCGAGTGAGAGGAGGTACTCGCAATACGAGTAATTTTGGCTGAGTCTAGAAGAACGGAGTTGGAAAAATGCTTACCGTTAGACTTGCGCTTGTAATTGGTGCAATCGCGAAGGAGCTGCGCTCGAAAAGATGGATTCTTTCCATCCGGGCGGAAGAGAGCGAATGAGCTGTTTATAGCACAGTAGCTTAACTTTGCAGTTAAGCTGGTTGTACCATTGAAGGGTATTTTTTAGTTGAATACGCCTAAACCCCACATTGCGGATGGCTTAGTCAACATGCGGAATGAATTTTTACCGGAAGGATAGCATAACACCAAGGTATTTTAGCTTGGTGACAAGTCGAATGGGGAGATTGACAAGCTTAAGCTTGATGACGGATGCATCAAAGCCACCGATATAATCTCTTTTGAAGCCTTGAAGAGCTATAGCCGAGACCTTGCCGGGGTTGAGCTTAATCTTCCACCTGGTGTAATAGACAAGAAGGATCCTAAAGTGGGCATTCAGCTCATTTGGGATACTGGAGGGGTTAAACGACCGCATGAAGACGATGCAATCGTAAGCGAAGCAAATTTGCTTGACGGAGGTCTGAGGGAGAGGAATGTCTGCTGTAAACAGGTTGAATAGGAGTGAGCCGAGAACTGAGCCTGGAGGAATGAAGGAGGAATGAATTTGAGCAGGAAGGATAACATAACACCAAGGTATTTTAGCTTGATAATAAGCCAAGTGGGGGTACTGTCCAACTTAAGCTTGATGACGGATACATCAAAACCACCGGTACGATCTCTTTTGAGGCCGTGAAGAGCTATAGCCGAGATTTTGCCGGGGTTGAACTTAATCTTCCTCCTGGTGTAATAGTCAAGAAGGATTCTAAAGTGGGCATTCAGCTCTTTGGATAGGGTTACTGAAGGGTTTAAGAGACCGCATGAAGACCACGCTATCGTCAGCGAAGCAAATTTGCTTGGCGGAGGTCTAAGAGAGAGGGATATCTGCTGTAAACAGGTTGAATAGAAAGAGGCCGAGAAATGAGCCAGGGATGCCGGCGTCTATAAGTAAGTCACGGGACAAGGAGGAACTGACTCGAACTTGAAAAGACCTATTAGAAAGGAATTGGTGGACAATACTACAGATTGTTGGAGGGAAGTCGAATTGGTGGAGTTTATGGATCAAATCTTACTGCCACAGTGGGGTGCTTGTTGTAGACTGATCTACCTGTGCAGTGGTACATGCGCTCATGTTGATTTTTCAAACGAGACATTCAAACGAATTTGCTTGAAGGTTTCGCTACAACTTCTTCACAATAAGACTTCTCTATGCAATAGCGATGATTTTGGTAATCATTTTACCGAAACCTACGAATGAAATAATTTTTGGGATATATTCTTTATGTGAAAGATCTTTTATATAAATTTAATTGCCTAAATTAAATTAAAAGTAGGGTGAAATAAAACTTTAAATTACCATATTTATTTATTACTCTAATATTTTTTTTAATTGTAAGCTAAAGATCAGTTACATATCGCACTGAATTGAACTAAAGTGACTTCAAATCCAGTGGAAGCACTACAAACCTCAATTAATAATAATATTATTTTTAACAAATATTCCCATAAATATCGCCCACAAACGTTTTAATTTTTCGGTATAAACAAAATATAAAATAAATTTTTAATCATTTAATATTTCGTGCTTGACAGACAAACAACTGATAAGAATCGAATATGACATTCGCTGCGGATAACCCACTGAAGAAATTAAAATATTTTATAATTTTTTTCTTAGTTTTATTGTCGGTGAGTAACTATGTGGCAGGTTGGACAGCGACTGGAGTCTATTCTCATAAAGGTAATAAATAATTTTTAATTATTTTTGAAAATATTTAAAGTTTTGATATTAACAGCACATCCAGGCAAATGCTATTATAACGAAAGATTGATTTTATCACCAGGACAAAGAGCAAAAATATCAAACACATGCTCCGTCATAGCATGTAGAGATAAAAATGGTTCTGCAGACATCTATGGGTAAACAAATCTTATGCCTATATTTATATATATTTTATGAACGATGATTGATTGAAATTAATGACTATTGATTGCAGATGTGGCGCTGTTGCTCCTCCTACTAACTGCGAATGGGGGGATTATATTAATATTAATGCACCCTACTCCGAATGCTGTGCCAAGAAAGCCGTTTGTAAAAACTCAGCAGATCGTAAGGCTGCTTTGATATATCAAAATGATATTTTAGAAATGTTCAAGAAACAAAACTAACTTTGATAATTGAATTCAATATGCATTTTCTATAAGATAAGTAAAAATAAATTAAACTTTCATAAATAACTGCAAAATAATAAAAATAAGATTGTTAATAGTTGACAAAATAATTAAAATAAAGTGACATTTCCATTACGAACTTGCTTTCATTAAAACATAGTTCATAGATATTATGCCTCAAGTAAGAGGCTTCCACAGCAAGTGGTACAAAGAATGACTTAAACCCGTTCCGCGTATTTTCCAAAAAGATATTACGATATGGCAAGCTTACTACCGACTTCCTTACCCAATCCCATATGTCTATTTACTTTACGAATAAGTAAATATAAATGACATACAAAAGTTAATATATATAAGTAAATAAATGAAGCCCCTTATATTAGGTCTTCAAAATGTGTTAGCATTATAATGTTTGAGCACTTCCAATATGCTCGAACTTGAAGAGAACCAATAATTTGAAGAGAGAGCCAACTAATTCTATCAAAACTTATTTGTTTTAAAACATAATTTTAGTAATGCTTATAGAAGTCATTATTATTTATGACCTTTTGCCATTATTCGAGTGGTTTTATAATTCCATCGTTGTAGAACTTCTGTGGTGTATATGTTATGTAGTATATGTTATGGAGTAATCAATTGAGGTAATTAAAAGAAATATGAAAACTGCTAAAATAGAGCACAAAATAAAAAAAGAAAATGTATGAATAAGAAGGGAGAAAAATTATTAGAACGTGTGATATATTCCCCATATATAACATCTATTTCTAATCATTTTGTAGGCTAAAAGTGGGGTAAAATAAATACCAAAACCATTATAAATATTGATGGAAAAATACTAATTAGCACCAAATAGATATATCAGATAATAATAATACCTGAAACATGCTATATCAATTTGCCATTTCTATATACATTTTTATGACCTAACTTTAGTTTCAAATTCGGTTACTTATTGAAAGTGAAGTGAGGTAGAACTCTACTAAAATAGATATCATAACAATATTAACAAGTCTCTCCATAGCTATCTTATATAGACTTTACTCGAAACTATTTAAAAATGTAATTCTTTTAATATTTTCGAATATTTATATTAGTTTTGTTATCTATGAATAATGATGTTGAAGTTGGTATAGAGAAAACATTAATGAGGGTAAAGAAATGTTTTTCAACACTTTTAATATTTCTAATATGTAAGTAAAAAGTTTTATATCATAAAGTCAAGTATTATTAAAACGAAAGGTTATATCACCTAGTCAAACGGCAACCAGAAGGCGCTTTCCCGGTGATGGAGCATTCCTAGCATATGCTCCATTATTACATATTTAAATAACAACAGTTTTGCTGATGGTGAGAGATACTTACGAGTATATCTTTTACATTTGACATATCTGATTGAAATATTTTTCTGATTTCAGGTATTTTAGTATGGCTCTACCTAATACCTAATACATGCACTAGAAGAATTAAATCTGTACCAATTTGTTAGATATTGTTGCTTCCAACATTGAAATAAAAATAGTCACACGACTGTTACTTTGTCGGAAACCTCAATAAAAAGTACTATAAGCATTTTTATCTATGTAATATTAAAAAGAGCAGTCTGTCAGGACACGCAAAGATTCTAGATAAAGTCTGGAATTCTCCGTGCCTGAAGGTCTTTGATAAGATGAATAGTAAATTAGCCTTTTCCAGGGAATTTGAAGTGGTCATCAGAGACCGGTCAATCAAATTATCTTAAAACAGGGCTCTCAATTATGGTATACTGATTAGTTCAAAATGGAAGATGGCAGTGCAGGAGCAAGAATTATGGGACCGAAACTCCGCAAAGCAATCACAATGGGAAAAACTGCTTCCATTTTTCAGGCACATAACTCTAAGGGCATGCCTTAAAGTTATGTGCGAGAGAATGCCTACGTCGGGGCACCCGAGGTACCAAAATATGCATTCTTTCAGACAGCCAAGAAACTCTAAAATCTTTACCAAAATTCTCAATCCTCATTTCATGGTCTGGAAATGCTTTCAACTTCTCAATACCCTAGCATTAAGAAACTATGTTACTCTTATATGGGTACCGGGACACAAAGAGGATGAGGGCAATGAAATAGCAGACTCCCTAGCAAAGAAAGGTGCATGTACTCCTTTCATTAGTCCAGAGCCTTCCTGGGGGGTAACAAATAGCTTCACATATAACTTATTATGTGAACGGGAAAAACAAAATCCACTTGAACACTAGAGACCCCAAACAGACATGCGGCAGTCAAGAAGATTCATTGATCCTGAACACATCAAAGTTGATGCTATCTTTCGCCTTAGCAGAAACGACATTAAAATCTATACTAAACTTCTTACAGGACACTGTAGACTTAATTATCACATGAAGTTTATAGGTGCGGTAGAAAGTGACTCCTGTCGACTCTGTCATGAGGAAAAGGAAACATCGAAATATATTCTATGCAACTGCCCAGCGGCGGCATGACGTAGACTCGACTATCAAAGAAGCGGGATCTTAGTACCAAATTAAATAGGTAAAATTAAGCCCACAGCAGTTACAAGATTTATAAATAGTCTAGAATTGTCTTAGTTGGGCTTTTAGGCGCACAATACATCTTTTAGATCGAGGTGCATTTATAGCCTATCATTTAATAATAATAATAATTATAAGTATTTTATTTCTTTTGTTATTAATTTTAATTTTATTAAAGAATTTAATTCAAATTTTATTCTTATTTAAATTAAAAACTAACTTATGCCACTTCATTTTTATTTTACATATTTTTTTATATAAATAAATTTAATTCAATCGTACTAAGTTTGGTATACCAAATCCTTTTGTCCTTAACCAGTTTGTCCTTAAAAAAGAAGACCTCATAAAAAGGTGAAATTATTTTTAAGATAAAATGTGAATATCAGTTCTTTGCCTTTGCTTTAACTGCTCTTTTCATTTTGAACATTTTCTCGGATTTCCTCGAATTTTATGTAAAATTTAACAAAAACCATTTATTAAATATTTAAGAACTCATTCACGCCATTTTCAGCGTAATTAATTCGAAATTAATAATTAAAATAAGGTTGAAGTAAATATTGTTTTAATTCGTTGAAATGCTTTCATTAGCTTTTAAGTTGGCTTTAAAAAATAATTAGTTTCATGAATTGCTGTCCAAAATAAATGCTTCAAAGGAATATAAAATTCAAGTGGAAATGCTACATAATTATTTTAATTTCAATGATTTTATATGTTTATTGTATAGTTTGTTTAGTTTATGTTGAGTTTATAATGTGGAAATGAAAGAGGTGTTAAGCGATTTAAATTCTAGTTATTAAATAATGAAATGAATAGGTCTTTAAAATTATTTACAACCATCAATAATAAATTTAAAATGTTCCTAAGTTGATTATAGAATAATATTTTAGTATATTAGTATTAATATATTAGTATTAGTATAATACTAATATATTATTTTATAATACTAAGTTCACACTATAAAACAGCTATCAAGTTTAAATCCCTAAACTACTTATTTAAAACTGGCTTTATTATATAAAAATATTTAAAATTAGTATAAAATCTCGTTTAAATAACGATTTTATTTTTTTTTCATCCGAAAACTATGCTTCATTATCTTTAAAATGCATAATTGGTTTGCGCAATAGGAATTGGTTCTTGTATAGAATAAATTAGTTTGTATAATGTATGAATTATGTATGACAGTGTAGAATATTACACTCCCTTCACCCGCTCATCAGCAGCAAAAAACTCAACATAAAGAATAGAGTTAGCATATTTAAGCAGTTTATTAAACCTGGACTACTTTATGGCAGTATTGCGTTTTGCCAAGCGCCAAACTCAGCTTTAAAAATTCTTCAAAGAGGGCAAAATATTGCCTTAAGAAAACTGATTAACGCCCCATGGTACGTAAGAGAAGCGGATATCCACAGAGATCTGAGAGTTGGTTCAGTCGAAAAATACATTAAAGATCGTGCTCTGAAACTGTTCAATATAATTGATAGTCACAATAATCCAACTCTCAGCATCCTAAAAATATATCGAAATTTGATAAACACAGGCAGATACAAAGACATCAGATCCATCATATTATAAAGCCCCGTATTTAGTTATTCTTAGTGTGACTTAAAACTGTCCACAGATAAAATAGAGTAAAGGCGCTGATTCACCAACTCAGATATCTGAATATCAATATCAATACTATGTCCTGACATCCAAATTTTCTTAATTTCGTAAAAATGAAATTAAGTTAATTTCGAAAGTGTTCCTACTGTCCCAAATCAAGGAAATCATATGTTTTTTGTTTACAAATCGAATGTTAAAAATTAATTTTAAAAGAAATTTTAAAGTTGATTGTTATAATTCTAAAGGATGACAAGCAGTAGTTTAATTAACTTTAATGGATTTCAGGTATGTGAATTATTATTTTTCACTCTATTTTAAGTTAACAAAAGTTACAGTTTTTACTCTATATTCAAATTTAAAAATATTCATTACATTCAAAATATTTCCCAGTTTTATTAAAGTCAAATGTCATTTACATTTATTTAAAAAAGTATCACTTTTTCGTTATCTCAACTTTATCTTTTGTTTTAAATTTATCTTACGCATAGTTGCATTTGAAATTTCCCTTAATTTTCTATAATTTCGTTCTAACCTCAAAATTGAATTTTGAACATAGTATAAATGTTAACAAATTAGATTGTAGATTGTTGGATTGTTTAAATATAAAGATTTTGCTTATCATTTATGAACATCTTCGCAGAATGTGAGCGGAGAAGGAACTAAAAATTGAAAGTTTATTAAACGAAAATTCGATCCCAATTTATAAAGTCTTCAAAGCTTTTTTTTTAAATTTTCCCAAAATCCAAAAATTTAAGGAATTCCTTAAAACCTAAACATAAAGGATAGAGCCCTGAAATTATTTGCGAAAACTGACGCACTTACCAACACCGCGTTATCAAATCTCAGAATGGTTACAGGCTCCTCGAGTAGGTATGCAGATCTGAGGTCAATTATTGCTTAGTCTGATAAAGTGATAAACGATAATCCAGTCAAG